TCCATGGAAGGAAAAAGGTACAAACTGAAGGTCAAAGAAATTATCATGAACATGAATGTGATCAATTTTTTAATTTTTTTGTGCAGGTAGCAATGCACTTGAACTGCTCAAAACCACAAGAAGCCTATATTGATGTCAAACTGAATTCTACTTTGAAGTATGGCCAGTTATTGAAAGGTAACAGGAACACTTTGTATAGAGTACGATATCTGAAAGGCAATGTTGGATGCGGGTACTTAGAGTTTCCTTGAATAGTCGGAATTAAAATCCATCAGGATTGTTGGTCATCCTTATACATTCATCTTCAATGTGTCTCTTTAGCAGCTGTGTTTTGACAATCAGTTGATCTAGTTATTTATTGGAAAGTAAAGAAAATCAAATGAGAGATTAATGTAATTCAACTTCTGGCCTGCATCAACAAGCAAAGGCAATAGGAAATTCACAATGAAAACTATATAGTCGGTTTCAAATACGGACTAATTGCAAGGCCTCTCTATCAATATCTGTCTTCTCTTTTATGGTTTCTATGTAAAGAAAATTCTGATGTGTGTGGATTTAAATTATAAGAGAAAGTCCTAAAACCTAATGCACTCACCAAATGGTCCATGATTTGGTTCTAGTGAGAGGTATTAAGGTATCACAGCAAGGCAATGTTAGGTTCATTCTTAACTACATTTAGGTGGAGAGTGCCCATAAGCTATTATTAGTAGTTATACTTTCAGTTCATTGTTTTCAACAAACTAGGGCTTCTATATATGGAAGAAAGTTAATCTTTACATGTAATTGCTAAGTAGCTGCACAGAAAAGGTATGCTAGCTTGGTTGGAACAATATGTTAAGTAAAATATATCTTGTCCAAACTCTGAGAAACATGACAATATATTGAGGCAGCCAGCAATAAACATTAAAATACCCTTTCCATCTAATTGTCCAGCTTAGGAGAATATACCATATAACAACACAGCAACTCATCTAAGTTCAAAAACACATTAATCTGGAATCTTCTTCATGCCCAAAATTTTTAGGAGATATTCTTTTCTAATGTCTAATATATCAAGTATCCAAATGACCTTCTTCCTATTTGCAAAGTTATTCAAACAAAGGTAGACTTAAGCTGACCTTGGCTCCTTCATCACCAATAGGATTTCCGGAAATGTTGAGAGTTTTTAGAGAAATGTTTGATTGAAGTACACGGTCAAAGGCTTTTGTTCCTTCTGCAGTTATTCCATTTGCAGCAAAACTCACTTCCTCTAGAATCTGAAAAGCAGTACATTAGAAAATTCATAGAGATAACAATATCACACTTGCAAAATGTATGACAGGACATAGAAAAATGCTATTCTAATGATGAACAGACCAGACATAGCTAGTTGAAGAACTCTAACCTGATTGTATGCTAAGCTCTCAGCAAGGAAAAACAGTCCTTCATCTCCGAAATTACATCCTGCAAAAGACATGGAAAGGTTTGCATTTAAAATGTCTACTTGCTAGGAAAGAACTAGAGTGGGGAGTGGCCGCCTGGATCCTAGTACAAGGTACTTAGTTTCTCTCGAATTTCATTTCCTTGGAAATTTTTAGTATTTTTATCTGTATCTTATCC